AATTAAAAAAAGTTAACTTTACCTCATGTGACATATAGCATTAAGTCCCGGTTGTTTGAGTGCTTAATTCAATTTTTACACATGAATAATTTAAAGTTATATGCAAGACAGAGTGAGAAGTGTTGGGCGTTTTAAAACGCAAACCATTCATTATCTAAAAAGCATGCTCATCATATTATAGTCATATGACGTTGGCCTCTTTTGTGGTTCCATGAACAATGTCAGCCTCAAGGACACCCTTTCAGCTTTGCAATCTCAGAAAACACAAGAGGGCATCTCGAAACACTCCAGAAAGACTAGCGGGCCAGAAATAAAAGTGGAACCAGATACTGACCAACTAGGTTTGAGTTTACAATATGACAAGATGAGAAAACACAATGCTTTCATGGTGAGGTTGGAGGAAGACGTGTCTCTGTCTTCAACCAGCTTGAAAAATGAATTTAAGAGACTGCAGTGATTGGATCGAATCACGGCTGATTAACTTTTCAGGCCTAATTTACTCTCCCGTTCATTTGCGCAGGGTGGCGAATACTGGCAGATCTTCAGAATGAAGAGTCGGGGAAAGCCCAGAGGGAAGAGCGTCCTTACCTCATGTCTGTTATTCTTTCAAACCTGGTGTGCGAAGAGAATATACTAACCGAAGTGAGCCTCCCTGTCCTGAGGGAGCAGCACAGGGCTCCCAAACACCTAAAGAGGGCGAGACCAGACCGAAGACTTTGATGCCGTTTCCAGGCAACACGTAGAATGAGCCTGTGGAGAAAAGGTGGAGGAGGTGCACCACGGGCCGAGGCGGCTCACATGCACACGGGGCCCGGAGGCTTTGGCGTGATTAATGGCACAGGTATGCGCTACAGCAGGCATCCTCCGAGAACCTACAGATCAGTCTTCCTGTAATACAAATCCGACATTGGCTCCCCTCCCCTTTCTCCACCCCACCCCACCTGCTCCTGCAACACCATCATCAGAAGCTCAGCTCCTCACTGCCAAGTGCATCACCGGCATCACACTCATAAATCATTCCCAAACAAAACACGCTTAATCTGTGACACGCAGGCCTGACACACAAATTTATTACCTGTGTGAGATGCACAACATGTCCCTAGCACCTTCTGTCTGTCTGGGAGAAGAAAAAATAATACGGACGGGAATGGGGAGGGAGGGCAATTGCTAGTTAAAAACTTTACACTTGGTGCAGTGACGCTTGCTGCTGTTCGTTGAGTATGAGACAAAGCATTTACGAGGCTGGTTGATTTCAAGGGCTTATTACAGCACAGAGAGCGCTTTCTTCTGCCGCCTCGCTCTTGCCAAAGGATTTTACTCAAGCACATTTGTAAGACATGAATACATAAGTCCTTTTCATGGATTAGGTTGGCAATGAGATGAATGGTCTGTGGTATGAGTCAAATTGCCTGATTGCAACTGGCTGTTTTGAATGTAGGAGGTTAATGAAACAAAAGCTTACCTCTCTAATCCCTCAACAAGGAAAGAAACAAATGTAAACTTGCTTTATGAGCTTATCATAATTCATATTCTGCACGTTCAGCAGCAAGGATTAGAAAAAAATGGACAGGAAAGCATTGGTTTTGTCTTTTTTTTTTTATTAAAGACACTGGTTAGTGTCATGATTCAGAAGAATGATCATTTTTACATCACAAATATGATACAGTGTATGTTTTTTTTTGCAACTCCAAAATGTTATATCTGCTGACGTATTGTCTTTGGAAAAGTGTTACAATACCTCTATACTTTTTCTGCATGATTATTTGATGTATTACTTCTGGGTTTAACATTTGGAGAGTAGACAAGCGATTCCACAGAACTTTCCATCTGCAGACAAAGCCACAGTGATTACAGTCAGGTTATAAGAGCAAGTAAAAATCACATGGGAGTTTCCCCTGCGGATCTGACCCCCCTGCAGTTTACACGACTTTCAGACTTGAATCAGAAACTTTGGTTTTGTTTGCGCTCAGAGTTTAGTTTGGGAGAAACATTGTAACTGTATTTGCGTGTGCTATGTGTTATAGCCTATACATATACATACAGTACCGTTCAAAAGTTTAGAAACATTACTATTTGTCTCTTATCCTCATCAAGCCTGCATGTTAGCAATCAGCATATTAGAATGATTCCTGAAGGATCATGTGATACTGAAGACTGGAGTAATGATGCTGAAAATTCAGCTTTGCATCACAGAAATAAATTATATTTTAAAGTATATTAAAATAGAAAAGCATTATTTAAATTTGTAATAATATTTCACAATATTACTGTTTTTTTCAGTATTTTTATAACATAAATGCAGGCTTGATGAGCATAAGAGACTTCTTTCAAAAACATTAAAATAGTAATGTTTTCAAAATTTTGACCGATACATACAGTATACACGCACACGTACAGTGTTTGGGGTAACGCATTGCAAATTACATTGTTACTTGAAAAATGAAATCTGATTTTGTTACCAAAGTAATGCATTATCATTAGGCGCCGCTCATGTGAAACTGAAGGCTGGAGTAATGATGCCGGAAATGTAGCTTTGCTAATACAGTAATAAATTACATTTTAAAATAGAAATAGAAAGCAGTTATTTTAAATTATGTTATTATTTTACAACATTATGGTTCTTCTATTGGTTACCTCAGCAGGGTGTTGTAATTTCACCTTGTAAATAATTTGGTTAAACTTGCCCGTATGGCGGTTTCTATTCTTAGTGCCATAACACTTGCAGTGAGTTTGAGCGGTAAGGGATGTACAGTATTGTGTCAGGTGTTCAATGAACATCTCTTCTGGTCGTGTGTTAATGATTTTAGTACAAGGTCTTTGTGAAGTGATAAAAGCTTCTGTGTTTTAGTTCTGTGTTTGGCCTTATTGATCAAAATGCTTTTTGGTGTCTATACCGTACCATCCTAACTTAAGGACCTGTAAAGTGCACAAGATATTGATATCTGTTCCTATTACCCTTTTTGTTTTTCTTTTTAAATCAAGTTGTTCAATATTTTGGTTGATAACAGACTGGATTAGATAGAGGGCACTTGAAAACAAGCAGAGGCCATCCGACCAAAACATAATCATGAAGGCTGCATCAAGGCAAACATGAATGATTTATTATGTATTGTATATTGGAAATTAGATTGGATCTAAAAATAACAAGCAGTTTGATAAACACCAGAAATATCATTATTAGGTCTCTTTTTGTTTTGTTTTATTGCATTTAACTACACTAAGTGAACAGTTTTGCATTATTAAGCTAATTTCTGCTATTTGCTTCAGAGCTTTATAGATCATTGTGGGGATAAAAATCTCTGCAAAATTACTGTAGTTTAACCAGAGATAAGTTCTGTTGATGTGATTTAGTTTCAATCTTGTTTATCAAGTAGATCTCTAGTCACGTTCCCCGACAGCTACGTGTCAAAGTGAATTAATTTCAGGCCATTTTCCATGATTAATGAAACGATTCTTGATATTAAGGACTGAATGAAAAATGGGAGGAACGGTTTCATTTCTGACCTTGCTCAATTTTTAATGAACTTGCTACGGCTCGTACAAAATGGCTCTGTCTTATAAATGGTGCTGTACAGTAACTTCAATAAATGGTGGGCAAATTAAAGAGCTTTTATTGTCTCTCGAAGCAGCTGTCTGTAAGTCTTGAACCCGAGACAATGTGAAGGATACAATAACCTACTGATTTGATCAGGTGTAGGGGAAAACATGGCAAATAAAAAGTTGTGAGAATGTCAGCTGCATAATTACAAGCTCAGGTATTAGTTACATTAGAAGAAGGAAAATAGTTCTTCTGAAAAAGTAAAACTTCTGAGGTTTTGATTAGATATGTTTCATAGAAGCATGAGCATGTGACAGTTGTGTGCGCTGCTCGGTACTGGCAGGGCATGCTCAGTGTTAATTACGTGCGGTAATGAGAGAACAGAGCCAGACTGTGAGACACAGGGTATTTTTAGAGCCTCTGCAAAGTTATCCAATGCACAGACTCAATCTGTACCATACTTTTGCGCTATTCCATTTCCTCTCTCTATTTCGTCGTCTTACCTTTAGGCTCTGTCTGCTGTGGTAAAGATCATTTCGCCAAGTCCGTGGATGCTCAAAAAAAAAAAAAAAACACTACATAAGGTTCAGTTCATTAGTTGTACCATTACCTGTATCGAGATCATTGTTCGCTCTAATACATGAATAACTTACTGTTTTCAATATTTTTGGAAGGTCAGATTATACCAGAATCTACCTGTGCACAAGTTGGGAACTGTGGACAATGAGGGAGATATTTGAAGCGGTTTGGCTTGTCTAGTTCGAACTGTAATGATGTGTTCATCAAAAATCTGGCGTCAAAACAAACCTTCAGTGTGTTTGAGTCCAATGAGTGTTGTTCAAAAAGACTCCAAGAAAGTTCAGAACTCTAACTCTAACCGCTGTGCTCTAATAGTCTGTTATATATGAGCGATATCATAATATCCTTTATTTAATTGGTGGCATAGTATCTAAGCAGTCTGGAGCTATTTGTGGTCTGGTACAATGCTGAAAATGTCAGCTGTCTTCTATTTGAGTGTTTTATAAACCCCAGTGCAATTCTTTGGACTTTATGACCTATCAATACACAACTTTAACTTCAGCTGGCAGCCTGGCAGGCACATATGAAGTGCTTCAGCTGGCTTATTTTGTTGAACCCATGGCCATTTGAAATTTTGCTATTTGGTATTTAGACTTCTATTGGCAATTAAAATGATACTTGGAAATATTGGTGGTGGCACTGGCAAGGCTTTATTATGAGAAAGCGAACCATCTTCCATCTCTTGTGAACAGTCAGGCATTGTTGTTCTCCCATCGCTTTTATTAAGAATAATAAGAACACAAAACACATCTAACACCCTCAGTATTGGTGAGTGACAGCTGCGGCTGGTCCACCACTCCCCTGAGCCAAGCCCTGTCACATACACGCATGCCCAGCATGTCAGCGTCCATCTGGGATCCTACCCTTCAAACTTCTGTCGCCCAGCTCCCTTCCGGCAGAAAGACCCAGGGACAAGAGTGTGAAGTCAGGCCTCACAGGGGCAAGAAGAAAGCCGTCCAAAGCCAGCTGGTCTGGCTTTGAGGAAAGCAAGAGAGATAGAAAGCACAAGAGAGAAAGGGGAAAAGAGAGACAGAGAAAATTAAGTAATAAAAGGGAAATTAAGAAAGTAAGAGTGGCACGCGGCTGAGAAAGATACCTGAGGAAGGCCTTGGCAGCAGGTTCTGTGAAGGTAATCGATCATCTCAAGAAACAGGTGAGATACACAGAGGGGGAGGGGCAATGTGGCAGATGTATTGTATTCAAAATATTAACACATGACCTGCCTGCTTGTGATCGGTAAGTAATAGATAATGCAAGCAGAGAAATCATGCTGCTATATATATTTAAACTTGTTGCAGTATTTTCTGTTTTTTCATAATAATTATTACACTCAACGTCATCAAAAAAGCTCAACAAACTTTATCACAGGTTGTGACTTTTTTTTTTTGCAGGATTGCACCACTTTCCTTTTATTTGAATAACATTTTCAGTCTGTTTTAGTTGAAATTGTAAACAGAGGAAACAGGTTTTCTATGAGGATTTTTGGTTCTATTTATTCAATGTCTATACTGCTTTGCCTGCACCACACTGATTTATTTTTTAACTCTGATTTTTTTCATTGCTTTAAATGAATTTTGCATTTCATAATAATCTTTTTTACTTCTTATACAAAATGTATACGTTATACAGTTATATATTGTACATAATGTTCAGTGACAGCTGATTACACACTAAATTAGATGTAAGAAGAACAAAATGTGTTTTTTTCTAGCTAATCTCTCGATCACAGGTGGATGGTGTTCATTGTGGTTTGGGTTCTGGTGCCATTGGGTGTTTGCACAGGGGATCCGGAGTATGCGCCTAGCCCTGATGGGACTATTTTTATGCACAGCTCCAGCTTTAAAGGGCTTCAAATAGAATGTGAAAAAATGTGAAGTCACAGAGGCCACATAATCAGGGATTTCATCAATATCCATAGCCATTTTCAAGGGATTACTTATACCGTGTGAGTTTGCTGTTGATTCTGTTGCTATATCTTCTATTGGAGCTTAGTTATTTCAGATGCGCACTAGGCATTGGTCTTAAGAAATTGATATAATGAAGTACTTTTACATTGACATCTGTGTCTGTCTGACTTGAGACTTGAACTTGTCATGCTGGTTGTGATTTTATCTTAAATTATATTCATGCTGCAAACATCTGTTTACAAAAAGCTAAAGTAAATAGATATTTATATAATAAAATATACAATGACTTAGCTTCCAGTTTTGATTGTTATCTGAATCCATGATGATTGCTTATTATTAACATCCATTATTTTTGTCAGGTTCAATTTGAAACTGCTCAAAGTCAAACTGTGCTGTGGATTAGAAAGTTATACAAATCTCACTGTAATAAGATAGGACTAGTAACAACACTGATTCCAAAGGAAAACTGTAAAAAAAATAATTAAAAAAAATATTTTTTTTTCTATTGGTCTTTTTTCCCCCCATTGTTTTAACATGTTGTTATCATTTGATATCCTGCCTGTCCCATTTTACATGTGGCAAAACGGTGATAAAAAAGAAATTGCCTTTAAGTCCCAGCAAAAACAACCCATGTTCAGCACCACACCTCTTCCACAGATCTTACAACTACACGTGACTCTGACACATGCAACGTAAAACTCAGCCAGCCTCTTTTATCTGATTGGTCAGTGACAAGCCGCTGTGGGATCGGATTGGATGAGAAACGTGTCACTTCAGATGTACTGACCCTATTGTTACTGTTGTTTTATAGACCTTACGTCAATCGTATCTAAGGTAGTGCCAGTAACGACCATAATAAATATTACATTGCTCTGCACATAATGGGCTTTTAGAAAGCATCCAATAATCGTTGCTGTGGCCCAATAGTGACGTCTTTTTAACTTTTTTTTTGAGCGACAGTGCTTTAACTATCACTTCCTCGATTCGATGAAACGAACGTACTATTCGGGTTGTTTCCTCACTTTCTCAAACTGTTAAACACGGTGATGTCATGGTGTGGCGGGAGCAGTCTCCTTTCCTTCTCTCCTTAAGTGGCGCGCTCACTTTTTTATTGCGTTTCTTTTTGACAAAAACACTATGTATTACTTATTTCGTGATGTTTTCATTTTGATTCGGAGTTCTTGAGTTTTTCATATTTGTTTTTAAACTAGAGATGAGACACGAGTAGAGTAGGAGGTGGAGGATGAGGAGGCGGCGTTTTATGGCAAGCTCATGTAGCAATTATTCCTTTAGAATAACAAGAATCTATTGTACTTTTATATTTAACTAATTAGACCTACTACAAAATAATCGAATAGTGACTAGTTTTACTAGTGGCTCTTTTCAGCACTGAAAAGCTACACAAAGTCTAGAAGTAAACCTCCTTTCTATAGGCTATAGCCTAGTCTTTGCTAGTGTAGGCTATTCAAGTTATTGGTGGTACCTTTTCCAGTTTTACTTGTAACTTCTTTAGGAACTACTAGTTATATTTTAGTTAGGACGATTCCAATAGGCCTACTACTAGTATTCCAGTTGTCTTAGTACCAGTAAAATAAACATTAGTATTATGGATTAGACACTAATAGCCTATGCATTTCTGTGATTTATAATATATTTAAGACTTTTAATCAAGCTATAAAGTAGTCTGTTTAATAAAGCATAGCCTAAGCAAAATACTATTGTAAATCGTGAGGGAAGAAATGGACTAGTTACAATTGGGATGTATAGGCCTACTAGTGTCTCAAAAATCGGTAGTAGGCCTATCCAATTAAGTAGGCCACAATAGCTGGAATCAGTTCTAACTTGTGACTGTTAATGTAGAGAATTAATAAGCACTATTTGGGCCTATAAAGGACCTTACGATTTAATATTTTACTTGGAATAAAACATACTAGTTAGAGTAAAATACGGCGATTGAACCTATTTAGTTTAAAAAGGAATGTATGTTAAAACGGCTTGCCGTAGGAGGTTGCCTCCGTCTAGTGTTCGTCATATTGGGGGAGGAGCTTGTGTTGTGACAAGAGCGACTGCTGCTTCTTCTGAGTTTGTCAGCCCAGCTCCCGAAAATAGAAGCCGTGTGTCAATGTGACTGAAAATACATTTATGTCACAGTGTATCCACGGGAGTCACTGATACACAGTATCTATATACAGCGAGGGGGACCGCGAAGAAAAAAAGGTGAGTTGCAAAAATAGCAACAATGTTAGACAGCAGTCAGAGAGCGAGAGAGAAAGAGGAGGGAGTCGTGGAGTGAGAATGGATGAGCACAAATTAAACGCGTTACAATTCGTCTGGGAAGCTAAACATGTTTGTCATGTGTGTGTCTAGGGGTCGGCAACACGCCTGGAAGAATTTGATGCCGAGTTGCGAGCACCTGATTGAAGGACAACAATATTTTTCGTGCTCGTAATTCTCTGTGAAGAGCTCGTGCGTGGTTTTGGGTTCAGTCCACTTTGACACTTGGCATAGTTGCGCTCTAGTCTCGCATCATTTTCCGGGCGGTGTTAAATATTTCTGGAGGGACGATTAGAAATGAAAGATATTAGTCAGGAAAGCCAGCGGATAGTAAGTATTTTTTTTTTTTTTTTTACTGCAAGAGCAGAGTTGTGTGGATATTGTAGTCTGAAAACCGTTAAGCTTTCGCTTCTGAATATCACTGGTTGAAGAGGGTCACCTGCAGAGATTCAGAACTTTAAAACAGGGCAAGTTCAACTTCAGAACTCGCGCGACATAATGTTTCATGACTTTGTTTTTGTCTCCTAATGTATCTGCAACTGTGGTCAAAGTTGCACGTCAAATAGCCAATGTATTCCATTCTAGCTGGCTTTTCGAAAGGAAAAGTTGTTTAAAGCACCCAAAGCACAGGCAACTAAATATACTAATTTGTCGTACTTTAGACAATATCATTTGTGATAATTAAATTGTTTTAGATTTTAAGCCATTCTAACGCGCAGTCAAGGGTTAAATGTAGGACATTACCTCCGTATCTAAAGCACGCCCGACAACTTTATGGATATTATAGAAATTATTGATCTTTTGTTATGCATAACTTTGGAAGTCGTTGCAAATACTTTTCTGTCTGAAATCTAGATGGTGCTGGTCTTTTGCAGAGCTTTGGATAGTTGAAACAGGGTTTATTGGAGTCTCTCTGTACATACTGTATGTTAGTGAATAAACTGAGACAAGTGTAAATTGATGCCATCAATTACTTTATAATAGCATATTAATTTAACTTGTGATTTAATGTTATTCACGAGGTCACAATGTCTTGTTACAATCTAGTGAGAGGTCTAGCTATTGTGTGGTACATGATTGTGACTCATCTGCAAGGCCATACTGATGGAAAGTTATTCAATTAAATATAATTTCAATTTTATTTCGAGCTTGTACAGCCACTAATCGACAATTGGGTCATTCCCTTTTATCAGTTCTAAAAAATGGCCTGTTTTGTGTATTTTCTGTAAGAGTTGCTGACTTTGACATGCACATTGAGGGAACAGCCAAATCATCCACAGGGAGAGAGTGTAGTACTTGTGCTTGTAAGATTACACATGCCCTTTAGCCTGCCATTTAGTTATTAATAAAGTGTCTTAGACTTGCCTTAAACGCAACATTACGAGATGACATGTCATTTTGACCTTCACAAATGTTTTAGGTGTATCAATTATAAATATTTCGACATTGATAAAGATATAAAATTGACCAAACTAATACAAAAGTAAGCCACGTTGTCTTGACCTGTAGTCTGAATGGCCAAAGGCTAAATTAGGCTGTGTTCCTAGGGTTGCTCAGTGCTTGTGTCTGACAAGCATTGTAATTACGAGCCACTGGAGGCAGGCAATCAGGTTACGGTACATCATCATGAAAATGACGTCATGAAGAATGTTTGTCTGTTCCTCTGATTGTTTGGCTTTTAAGAGGCTTAAAGCCTCAGTGGTCAATGCCCAACACACTATAGATTTATTGATTAGTTCAATATTTCAAGCTGATCAGAGAGATGGTATAGGCTTAGAGGAAATAGTGTTCGTCCCAAATTGAACAGAGGCAAAAAACAAAACAAAAAAAACCTGGGTCTTGCTTGTGCATGAGTGCATGTTTTGGATTTGGGCTGGAGCACATTTATTTGATGTGTCCAGGTATAACATAAGTAAATAAGAAGTAATGTTATTTAATTAAAAAATCAAGCTTTGGACTCACTTTAACTACTATGTACTAACATTTAAATTAATCATTTGATAAGTATCTATTGTATACATTTTTGTGTATATTTATTGTGATTTTATATTGTACACAGACACATATTATACTGCATGCGTAATTCATTTAATTTTATTTTTGCAATACAAAATGAACACTATAAGTATTGTGTGTATATATACAGTATATGTAAGTACATATTAGTTAAAACACCTAATATAAAGTCATACAGAAGCTTGACATAATACTATAAGCATATGGTATGTATTTGTTATGGACAGAGGTGTTAGAATTGGTTCTATTTTATTGTTTGATTAGCCCATTAACAGTACGGATAACACGCATTGAAAAAGTTTTGTTGCAAACCATGTTAAAATATGGTTTGAATAAATGTGTTTTGCTGCCCTTGTTTTCATCTGAGGTGCATAGTAAAGATTTAATATCCCAGTCAAGTGTATAATATACCATCCCACTTTTTCCATCTGGGCTTCTGTGCGACTTCATTATAGTTTAATAAGCCCAAACTAAACATGGGTGCAAATTCAGCTCTGAAAACATCACACTGAAATTCAATAGCTTTCTGTTTACACACTTGACAATGAATTAGTCAGCGAAGGAATTCTTTTAATATTCTGAATGCTGTTCACCCGACATGCCCCTCTACAAATCCGATAAAGCACAACATCACACTTGAAATTGGTGTCCTGCTGTGCTCTGTTAATAAAGCGTCTTTTGTTTATGATGTTTTGTTTGTTTTTTTTATCACTAGATACTGATACACCAGGGGTATTTTTTATATGAAGCTTCTATTTCTGATATTTTATTGGGTTGTTTTCTTTTGTACATTAATTGTATTTAAATCACTCCTCTTTTCGACCCCAGTCACTGCTAATGTAGTTGAATAAAGTCCATGCAATCAGTATCAAATATGATTTCCAGGTTAAACTCAACAGCACTGGACCACGGTTAAATACATTCTGACATGCGACTTCTTGTGTCTTACAGCTTGAGATCAGAGCGCACTTGGGCTGTAGAAGTTTTCTCAGGGCCACTTCTTAATATTTCTCCCATAGGCTTGCTGTAGACTGTAGTTTACACTTCATCTGGATTAATGCATCAGATTTATAGCGTATGCTATATGGTGCACTTGTACCTCTTCTGTCAGCATGCATCGTCCCATGAGTGTCAGTCCATGCCTGTCCTGTTCTTGTGAAATAAAGTCAGCCGTGGTGAAGTCGAGCTCCAGAGGTGGTGATTGGTGTTGCCCAGGGTGGGGGTTAGAGCATCTCCCACTGTGCTGTTCATAGCACTCCAATCTCACAGCCTGCTCTCAGCTCCTTCCAGGAGAGAGTGAATAGAGAGAGTCTGGAGTGTGTGGGCGAGTCTGATCTGCAATTAACGCTGGTTGTCAGAAAGAGAAGGCTGGCGTTTACACCATGCTTCTGAATCACTGAGCGAAACACTTTTCCTCTCTTCCCTTCCCCCTCGAACAGGGCATTTTACCCGAGGAGGAGAAAGCACCAGCGAGCTCCAAGTAGAGAGAAGCATTGAAAGCAAAGGAAGAAAGAACGTAAATAAGACTTGAGCTGGATATTTTGGGTCCAGGACTGAGGATTGTGCTGCTTCGTTTGTTAGGGTAAGCCCAGCTCTTCTTCTCTTCCTGTCAAACAATGCTGCATCTGTTTTAATTTCACTTTTTATGTATTAAATCGAATGAAGTAAACATGATACAGTGCCATATGGTCAGTTGACATCTAATGTTGAGTGCCTGCCATATACTCTACATGCACACTAGGATTTAAATGGTGAAACTCTGTTGAAAACAAGTTGTTGGTCTTGTTTCAAATAGGAGTTACATTGGCATTGCAGAAGTTGTAGTGTTTAATTTGAAGGTTAATTTCACGTTAGCTGAGTTTAAAGCGAAACACCCTGTTCTTAAGTGTCTTATTTGAGTCAGCTGCAGCTGGCAAAGGATGCATTGTTCAGTCTCAAAGTTAGCCACAAATGTTATTTAACAAGCAGAGGCTGGAACTTTTCAGAACAAGGGCACTGGTATGTAATTTTGTTAGTCTGTACATTTAAAAAAAAGAAAAGAAAAAGAAGAGAGATTTATTATTTGCTGCTGAAAATGTGATGCAGTTTATTATTTAGAGACCAAGATTGTGGAATTCTGTAAAATATGGATGTTTTGTAAAATAAAAATACTGCTTTTTAAACTATATCGTTAATTAAGGATCTTAAGGGAAATGTTTAATCTTTGCTGTCATCCATTCGCAATTTAAACCAAATCAAGTAACAACAAAACCAGTCAATGACATATTTAATAACACATTTGTGCAATACTTACTGGACGTTTTCAGGGGACGTCATTGCATTTTACGCGTCTTGCTCATTACTTGTTCGAACGCTCCTGTCGCAGGCCCATTCTTTTTCCCAGAGTGTGAAGACTCTTTAGCAGTCCTGTTCTAAATATTTTTCAGATCAGGCCTATGGAATGTGCCATACTTCTGCACCATGTCCATTAAATCACGCTCGGTTTTCTTTTTGTGCAATGGCTCTCTTTCACGCTTGCTCAGAGCAGCGTGATTCATTGTTTATTGGAACCCTATCATTGAGCTGGAGATTCCAGCATTCTCCCGTGAGACCTGGAGGCAGGATGCAGAATCTTGAGCCCAGCAGATAATGTTTGAGCCATAGTTTGCTTGTGTGGGCCATGCAGACCTTTTTCCCTCCTATGGGAACATCTCGGAGGATTTTTTTTTTTGTTCAATAAAAGGCGTATAAATGGGCTGCTTTTATCACCATAAAGGGCAGAGTTATGAATATGCATCCGCATGCATATATTCAGTTGATTTTAGTCTGCGCTGACTTCCCTCTCTATTATCTGTGGTTTTTGGATCGGCTCTCTAACCCAGTGGAATGTACGATGTCCCAGCGGGGTCACCCCATAAGTAGCAGCTCCAAAACCAGAAACCTCTGGCTGCCTCCTGGCCCCACCACCACTCCACATTGCCACACTTTTGATTCTAAATAAGTTACCAGAGGATATGGGGAACATGTTAGGCAAACAGAAAAAAACATCATTTAAGACGTGTATCAAAATATTAGCTCCTCATTTAACTTGCATGCACACACAACTCCGTCTGTTGCAAGCTGTAAATAGGTTTCCATTTCACTTGCCAAATAAAACCATCTATCAGGTTCTTAGGCTCCTCAGTTTTAGCTTTATTAGGCAGCTTCTTAATATGTAGTGATGATGATTTCCAAACCATTGGCTTGAGGATTAGCATCCAAGTTGGCACAGGCCTCCTCGCCACATGAAAATACAGCTCACTTTCTGACATGTGGATAAGATTTCAGAGTTAATATTGGTTAAATCGTATTTAAAGTGTATTAGCCAGTGTTGCAGAACGGCTGGGGCAAAAAAAAGCATGCACAAAATTATAATTAAATAAGAGCATGTGAGAGGGACTTACAACTGAGAATTATCTGGCTAGACACACGTCAGCTGAATGTATTCCTGTTTCTCTATTTGTCACTCCCTAGAAAAGCCTTCGGGTCTGTCTGGGTCATCAAGAACAGAATTTAGGCAAGATTGGTGTGATCAGTGTTACCCAACCAAAATGTTTGTGGACACAAATGTTATACTTCCATCTTTGTAGTTTTAAATCTGTTGTAAATGTACAAGAACTTTATTGAATTAGTCAATAATCTCATTTAACTTCTAACATTCATTAAAGGGTATTAAACATTAATGCCTGTCCATCTGAAGTTTAATGGAGACTCTGTAGTCTCAGAGTGCCATAGCCACACTGTATCAAATTTCTGTCTAAACAATATCAATACCATTTTGAATACCGTAAGCATTTGAAAAAGTGGTCAAAGTTTCCAGGGAACATTGTATTGTTAGGTTGAAATTGTAATTTACAATTTGGACCTTCCCTGCATAAAGACACAACTTCACCCATGAAACCCAGTGTTGTCTGACCACACATGTTCGATTTAACAGCATTTTTGAAAGCAAATGCTATCTGTTGTGAATGATCTACCTCTTTAGTGCTGCACGACCGGAAGGCTACGCCTGCGTTGTCTAAAGAAACCGCTAACGTTGACCTTTCGACTGCCCTGCCCTTGGCTGTGACCTCTGGTGTTAAGCCACGCCATACGGTCCACTCAGCACATGTGCTGCTGAACAGTGCAGAGCGGCTTAAGGATCGTCAACCTCTTTCCTGTCTCCTTCGCCCTTCCCGAAGACGCGGTCATGCGCGAGTACCTGGTTTCAGGTGTCCCCTTCGCTCTAGGCCGTGGCTGGGTCCTCGGCATCACGGGTGTGAGACTGAAGCCAGAGCAGCCCGAAGCTGCTAATCCTCTTTCTCTACTGATCCTCTTCCTCTCTGCCTCCTCACCCTGCCACCACGCTGCCCTCTCAGGGTTAAAAGGGCAGCATAGGCAGAAGTCCCATGTTACTCAACACCAAACCAAAACAAAACAAAACCCTTCAAGTGCTGAACACTAATCCGTGTAGTCCATGGAGGGTAACTTACCGTAGATTATCTCATTTTGTGGGTCAGCGATTAGCCTTGACACAAGCTTCATTATGAACTCCTATGAGTGCCACTGTGATCAGGATTATGTCTTTTATCTGTTGTTGCACTTGTCATCAGAGTGCCTCTTTATCCTCCTGGGACCCAGCAAATCATTTTTGTCCTCTGTTTGGGACATTTTTCTGAGATTTTCAGAGAATTCAGATGTTTAAGGCTTTGACCATGACATACTCTTTTCCTTGGTTTAACACAATTAAAAAAAAAAAAAAGTAAAACAATAGGTTATTATTATATAATAATTTTTATTTTTGTTGAAATATTAGTTGTATTTGATTTATTTCTTATACAGTACTGTTCAAAAGTTTGGGATGATTTCAAATAAATGCAGCCTTGGTGAGCATAAAACACATTCATAAACAATAAAAATCGTACCAACCTCAAACTTTTGAATGGTGTAGTATATGAATTGTTTATGCGTTGTTATACTCTTTTATGATTACAATATTCTTTGTAAAACAAGTTGCCCCAAAAGTATGTAAATATATGTTTGTGTGTTTCTGTGTATATATCAGAAACAGCGTGTTTCTCATTTTTCAATTATGTTTAGTGGAATTTCAAATTTCAACAACTTTTCTTTTCTTTGCTGCATGGGCAAGAAAGTTAAAGTTCCACAATTGTCTCAGGTGTCTCTGAATAGATAATTTTCAATTTCACAATTATAATTATTCATTGGAGATACTTTGCACACTTTTGCATGATTAATACTAGTTTCGTTAAGGTAAAATGTCCTCTAGCAAAATTACTTTCTGAAAGTGAGACTGAGCATATGGGAAAGAAAAGCGTTTAAAAGCTTGTGAAAGTCCTCTTTCTCAGCCCTCCAAGCGTCACGTGATGTCACGGTAAGCAAGTGTGGCTTCTGAGGTGGGCTCGTGTGAACGTGTGGTAGAGACCGGCACTGCTGAGGGCTCGGAGGAGTGACGCAGTCTGCACCTGTGTTCTCTCATTACCTCTGCTCTGTGGGCACTGACATGTGCTTCAAACTGCAGCCGTGTGTTGCTCCCTGTGCTTAGGATATCAGCATTGGATGTTATTGTGGACGAAACATGTCTCAGTGGAACCATAATGCCGCGCTTGTATCGTTTCGAGCCAGCATCCCTTCTGGCTTGTTGTTTTTCTCTTATATCATAGTAGATGGTTTTTGAATGTGATGTTGTTTTCATGCCACATTATTGCTTTCTATCATCACTGTGTTTGTAGTTTTGAGGAACTGTTTTCGAATAATGACACATCATCTGTCATTCATGAGTGTTGTATGCAATGAGTGTCTGTAATGCTTTCAGCTCAAAGACAAGCGATTCTTAAGTATACAACACCACCAATTTTTATACTTCCTTCACAATCAGTGATGGAAAAACACAAAATCACTGTATTATAATATAGTATAGTATATATTATAGTATATTATTATCTATCTGTCTATCTGTCTATCTGTCTATCTGTCTATCTATCTATCTGTCTATCTGTCTGTCTGTCTATCTGTCTGTCTATCTGTCTGTCTATCTGTCTATCTGTCTGTCTGTCTGTCTGTCTGTCTGTCTGTCTGTCTGTCTGTCTGTCTGTCTGTCTGTCGCAAATTAGATTTGAAATGTCTAATGCAAAGTAAAAATTCAGTACATTTAGTTACAAATAGTTACAAATACAATTTAGATAAATATAAACAAGGCATATTTACCAAAATGTTCAATAATTGTGAAAAACAAAAGAAAAATCTTAAATTATTTTAATCTAATAATTATCTTACAATATTTATCAACATACTTTTTTGGTAAAACTAAAAAATAAGTCACAGAGACTATTTCTTTTGGACATTAATATAACCCGAATGCATTTGACATCAGAGGCTTAATAAAAGGTTCATTAAAATCATCACAATGTTTACAATGTTGCTTAATTTTATAGTGCCAGGAAAAGCATTGTGAATAAATTGTGAAAGTTCGATAAATTGCCCAACCGTCACTGTGAACTGAAAGCATGTTTGGCATGTAAATCATAATAGCAAAACCATACTGGTCCTGGGTGTGTCGTTTTTTTT